TGAAATTCTCACTTTATACTATCTGGCTTTTTCAACCCTCACTCACTCGCCACTGAGGAAGGACTAGTGTTGTCCGAAAGCTCTGTTTCTATTTCTGGCTGTTTACTTACGTTTACTTTTTAGCTGTTTTTTTTTTAAAGTTTATTCAACTATATATATTGTTCACGTGTTTGAATAACGTTGGATTACCTTACTTCAGAAAAGGGATTAAGTTTATTGAATAGGCCTATTCGTTGATTGTTAGGTCGTTGATCGTAAAGTTTTTTGTATTATACTTTATCAAACACTCCTAAAATGCCAATATGCCCTTAATAAATATATGACGATTACTTCACAATGTCCTTGAATATTTTTCCGTCTATTTTATATAAATACTTTTGCTCGTTACAATGCTGTAAAATAGAGTAATATCCAATAGAAAATCTCAGAATGTTGGAATGTCTGAGTATGAATAGCTTCGTCTGAAGACCACACCGGGACTGCCTTTGGACCAGATCAGTTGTGCATCTTGCACCTAAAGTACCCCCAGCAAATAGATTTAGGACTCAAATTTGTGAGATATGGTCAAAAAGAAGCTCTGTGTATCCCTCCGGTCTTCTGAAAATTATCATACAATGAGATCTCATCAACTTGTTACGCTGCTGTTACTAACTTATCTACAATTTTGATCTCAAACTTAATTTTAATGAATATTAAACGTTTGCTTGAAGGCCATTATAATGTTAAGAGTAGTAAGATAAGCTCCTGAAATTATTATGGAACAGCTGCAACATTATGGAATTCCCCATGATCCATTTATCCGGGGGTAATAATTTAAGCGCATAGAGGTCCATACAATATGCGCTATATAAGTCGACAATTATTATAATTATTATTATTATTATTATTAAAAATATCAATACCAAAAATTCAAGTTTTAATTGTTGTAAGACACTAAGTTTAATCGTGTAAGTTATGTATTGTACCTGTATTTATTTAATTCAAGAGGTACATTATTTTTAAATAAATTTATAAATTTCTTTTTCAATGCTATGCAATGTTTCGAAATTTAGTAATTAAATCTTTGACCATCACAGATTATTCTGTTACTAGCATTGTTATTAATATTAGCAAATAGTTTGGGATGTTCTCTTTTCTCAATGGTAAATATTAAACCCGACAGGTTTAATATTACAGGAGTTGGTCATTATTATAGATTAGCTTTTTAAAGTGGGTTAATATTAAATAGAGTCATATGTCTGAATTAGAGGTTTTACTGTTTTGCAAAGAGGATTGTACTACCGATGTAGGCCTAATGCTTTAGTAGTTTAACAGTATAGGCCTAAATATAAAAGCAAACTCAAAACGCTTTAGCATAATCTGGATTAATATTTGGATTCAACTCTGTACTGGGAGGTAGACTGGAGGTATTGCGATACTCCTATCAGTAACACAAATTAATGGAACAAAGTAGCACACCAGAAGCAGTAAAATGTATTACTATACTGATAGTCTCTATAGTAGTCTTCGTCCGAATAGGCCTATGCGAGACGCTTTTTAAAAAGATCAAGAGCAGTTAAGATACAGAAAAAAATTGATTGCAAATAAGGAAGTAACTATAGATTGTGCAATATTAGTTCATTTCCCTTGTGTGATTTCATAGGTTGATAAAAACCTTATTCAAAAACATAGTAACTAGACTAGACTGATGTTGCTGTTGATTACAAAAAATATATATAAAATAATTTTAAAAAGTTAGTCTACTTTGCATAATTTTATAATTCGAAGACGAAAATTGTTCATTTCATGTATTTCACGGTAATTGTGTGTTTAACCATTGGCGGTTCTGGGGTCAGGGGGGTTCTGAACCCACTCGGACAAAAAAAAATACGAATTCTAGACCTACCTTTTCAGGACCCGTGAGCTGAAATTGTTTTTGTTACAATGATAAAAAAAATTCGGGAAAGCTCATTTCCCGCCATTTAGGAATCAACATTTTCCCGGGGAGACCCCACCCCATTTCTTTTGTGGGGTTCATCGATTCATGGAAAAAGAAATACATATGCAACTATTCAATTTGTTTCTGTATGTATTTATACCGGTACACACATAATAAGCCTATTTACTGTAATAAGAAATTTGTCTGACCGTTTTCAAGAGGGGAAAACCATGAATTTTGAAAAACTTATATGTCATTAAAAGACAGATCAGAAGGCTGGAAAGCTCATTTACCGCCATCGAGAAATCAACGTTTTCCCGGCGGAACCCGGACCCCACTTTCTCTTTGGGGTTCATCGATTCATGAATTCGTTTTCAAGAGGCGGAAACTCTGAATTTTGAAGAACTTAAATGTCATTATTAAGACACCACAGAAGTCGCGATAGCTCATTTCCCGCCATCTAGGAATACCAATTTTCCCGGAAGAACCTCCGACCCTGTTCTCTTTAGGGTTCATCAATTCATAGAAAGAAGAAAACGTGTGCAATTACTCTTATTTTTGGAGACATTTTGACCCCCCCCCCTATATTGAACCCAGATCCGCCCCTGGTTTAACATATAGCTGTGTTTGAAACGCTTTGAAAATTGCAAGTTGCGTTAATACATAAGTTTAATTACCCGTTTATCATTATTCAGAATGTAGAAAGACGTCATATTTTAATATGCACATCTTTTAAATGGTCTTTACTTAGACAATGTTTGAAGAAGATACAAGCACGGAAAGTTACCAAAGTGCCAGTCAAAAAACCCAGTGAAAAACATAGGAAAACGGGATAGAAGAAAAAAATCAGATCGAAAACAATGGCTTTTGTGCGAACGTAGGAAAAATAAAAATCAGATAAAAAATTATGGCTTCTGCATGCTAATGCAGGAAGAGTAATTAAGAACAGATTCAGATTCTATTATTGACATCAACAAACAAAATAGAATTACAGTCAATGTACAATTAAAGAAAACACGAGACAACAGAAAAAAGCAAAACAATTATCGAAGAGAGAAAAAGTGTTGCCTACAATTTCATTATCTTTTCGTAAATTGAAGCCGTATTAATTATGAAGGTCGTTACGACCAGATCATATCCAGTAGACTTCTTAACGTTGATGACATTTACATAATCATTATTAATTGATAACTTAATAATCAGTACTGGGTAGCTACCTAGTTCGCCAAATGGAATTTATCTTTGTTAATTTTTGATAACATGTATTGTGCCCAAATTTCACAGCCATATGATACTACTGGCACAACGAGTGTTTGAAATAACACTGTAGGCCTATCGCAGTAACAATCATACATATTACTTCTGATTAAAATTTAAAAAAAAAAAGAAAAATAAAAAAAAACTTAATATTTCAGCTTTTCCATAGCTTTACTAAGGGATCCAGAAGGTACGAAAATAATTCCTAAATCGCAAAAAATTTCGGAAGCGCGATGAGGCTTGAGACATAAACATAAATAGAACATCGTCTGCAACGATTGTATGCTTATTAAATACCATAATTCGATATTTGTCAAAGAAAGATGAAGGTGATTCTGGTCTATGAAATGGCTTCATAAGACTTTAAAAACTATTTCTGCACATACTACGTTTACAGTGACATGCTGTTTGTATACAACCAATAACATCAAATGAGAGTAGTGTATATTGTTTAAACTATACTTATTATAGGGTTAATATGCATATTAGGCATTTCCACAATAGGTAACCTATTGTGGAAAGGTTAGAGAAAGTCAAAAACCTTATATACTTACCAAAATATATCAATTAACACTACTATATATAATATTAGGAAATATTCATTAAATATTTTGTGACTGTTACTCTTTTTAAGTTTAATTAGGAAACTACTATATAGTTCAACACCTATTTTTAGACTAATTAACGACCGCAAAAAGGTGAGAATGAATTTCTCCTTAAGTGTGCGCAAAAAGGTCAATAATGCTGAAAATATCAAATCAATCGAACTGTAGACAGATCTATGAATTACAATTTGGACATAATTATTTTTTTGTAAATCGTTCGTTTATTCCTAGACATTGCCAGCCTTATAAGAAACATAAAAAAAACTTAATGCGCTAACAAAACACTACTTTGTTCAAATGCACGAAAAATTATATGACTAAATTTGACACTGTTTCTGATTTTCAACAATGTAATAAACTTATATTTGGCAGGAGATTTGTAATAAAATTTTGATAGGCCTTCTTTGCTAAGATCAACATAGCAAGGATATACTAAAGTAAGATGATATTCGTCTTTAATTTATTTTTTCTACATAATCTTCACTGTACATTCTTCTTTGTTTCTATTAACAAATTTACCTTTCTTAATATATAAATTCCCATTCATCACAAAATATGTATTCAAAGACAGTTAAAGACCATGATGTAATTGATTTCAGCTAAATCGTCTGCGTAAATATGCTAATTAATTAAACAGTCACCAGACCGGTAATTTTCTAATCCTAGAAGTTATACTACTGTGATTTTAGGCTTTGAAATAAGCATAATTATAACATTGTGCATATTATAATTATTACGACTATGATATTAATAATAATAATAATAATAATAATAATAATAATTGTGCAGTATTATAATTATTACGACTATGATAATAATAATGACAACAAATATGAAGGTAAAATTCCAACAAAAACCTAAATTTTCGGAGACAAATTGGTTTTTAAAAGCTTTTAAAATAACCAAGTTGTCAATATCGGTTGTATTTAGGCACTGGTGCAAGCGAACCTTTATACTATAATTATACTGACGATTTTTTTTTTATTGATTTTGGACGTTTGCATCAATTATTGTACTTTCATGCTTCGTAGAATGATCATGAGGATGAGAACACGGCTGATGAAACTAATAGGCCTACTACTTATCGGTACCTTGACAATTACCTCCTATGTTTTCAGGACAATGACACCAACGAACAACCCCCTGCATAGGATCGATTTCATTGTCCAACATTACACTACGTAAGTTCAACTCAATTAGCGTAATGCACACAAAATCGACTACTACCCACATGACTTTCACTATTAACATTACTTTAGATTGCGTAAATGCGTGCCCTTACAGCTACCTCCATCAAACACAAAACGCTATTATAACATTGGTGAAGTTACGTCAGAATAACGATAGTGCATTGCAGCAACGTTTATAAAATAACGTTATAAATACGTATTTATGGCTCTACAAAAAAATGCAACGTTCTTATTAGGTTATAATAAATAATGTTCCAATTATGTAAATCACTAAAAGAAATTACATTCTTTTGGTTCCTGAATTATTATATTTTCATATACTTACTCAGGTAATAATTTTACGTTTTAACAACGTTATAGTTTGGTGTATACAAAATGACATGCATAGATATCATTTATAACGTAATTCACAACCCCAAATAATGTTGCAACGTTGCTGCATCGTTGTGTTTTTCTGACTACATAACTTCAACGTTTATCAACGTTAAAATAAAGGGTTCTTTTTGTCTGTTTTTTTTTTTATTTTTTAATTTTAATTTTTTTCTTTTTGTTACTTTTAGGCTTTGATTTGTTATATCTGGCAACATTTATTGTGATTGTATTTGCCAAAAATGGACATATAAATATTAAAGTTATATAATATGTAGGCATAGTGCAAGTGTTACTGTTATCAAATAGCGTTGACTTCTCTTCAAAAAATATTTCTTTTTGTTTGACAGGCGAACCCGTGTTGATACCCCACAAAGCGAAAACGAGATCTTAGCAGTGAAGGTATCAGAATTTCGCAACGTACTTGATGTACGAAACACAGAGACCGAGTATAACAATTCCTTCCTTATGTCACAAGATAATAATGAACAAATCTTCAATATCGGTAAATTAGGCAAGTTACTACAAAAGCCATGGACTCAAAACAAAACCAACATAAATGCTCTCTTTACGTAAGAATTAGTTGCTTTATAATTTATCAATTTATTATTATTTTTTTAATTAAAAATAATAACTCCGTATTTTTTAAAACGATATCATTTATAACGTAATTCACAACCCCAAATAATGTTGCAACGTTGCTGCATCGTTGTGTTTTTCTGACTACCTAACTTCAACGTTTATCAACGTTAAAATAAAGGGTTCTTTTTGTCTGTTTTTTTTTCTTTTTGTTACTTTTCGGCTTTGATTTGTTATATCTGGCAACATTTATTGTGATTGTATTTGCCAAAAATGGACATATAAATATTAAAGTTATATATGTAAGCATAGTGCAAGTGTTACTGTTATCAAATAGCGTTGACTTCTCTTCAAAAAATATTTCTTTTTGTTTGACAGGCGAACCCGTATTGATACCCCACAAAGCGAAAACGAGTTCACATCAGTGAAGGTACCAGAATTTCGCAACGTACTTGAAGTACGAAATACAGAGACCGAGTATAACAATTCCTTCCTTATGTCACAAGATAATGAAAAAATCTTCAATCTCGGTAAATTAGGCAAGCTACTACAAAAGCCATGGACTCAAAACAAAACCAACATAAATGCTCTTTTTACGTAAGAATTAGTTGCTTAAGTTTATAATTTATCAATTTATTATTATTTTTTAATTAAAAATAATAACTCCGTATTTTTCCTCGTTCAACTTAAAAAATGCTACAGTGAGGGACACCCGACTTAACTACAACGGATACATACGGACAGAAACATGTTCCTCAACTCAGTACCGTAACTTAAACTGAGTTCTGAATACTGAATTATTATAGTAAAATTTAATTTCTTTGTATAGTGATGACTTGGCGATGGTGCTTGATTCACGTTATCAATTCGCAACAAAGAACAATACACAGAGACAACAAGTTGTTAAATTCACCCACTCTAAGAACCTAGCTATAAATGTGCCTCACGATGTCTACAGGGCTCTTCCAGAGGTAACATTATAGTTTTTTTTACATTTTCAAATATTTTTATTCTAAATTATTGTATATAACATTGCAAAGTAGGAATATAATAATAATAATAATGATGATGATGATGATGATGATGATGATGATGATGATGATGATGATAATGATAATAATAATAATAATAGTAATAATAATAATAATAATAATAATATTAATAATAATCATAATAATCATAATAATCATAATAATAATAATTCTGGATTTATATGTTGTAAAAATAGTCTTATTGGAGAATAACCTAAACAATAAATGATTAAAATAACAGAAAATATATCATTATGTAAATTATAGTTTAATATATAATTATAATTATAGTTTAATAATAGTTTTATATATTTATTGATGCCAAGGATTTTTTTTAAATTTATTTTAGTTTATCCTATTTTATTTAGGTATATAACACATTACAAGAGGCAGAACAAGTCTGAAATTATTGCATTACAATAAAAAACAAGCATTTACAGAAAACATTATTTAATAAATGTCTTGAAGGATTTGAAAAAATGAAAGTATTTGATGAATTTATTTTCTTTCAATTGAACTTTAGAATAGGAAAACATTTCAATTAGGGACGTATAATGGTGCTACAAGTCTTTGAATTTATGAATTTTCATAGAAAAAACATCTGAAAATCTGTGAATTTTTTTTTTTATCTGTGATTCATTCCATTTTATCTGTATGTATATTCTTGTGTATTCCTCGCTCTTGAAAGCAAATTTCATGTACTTTGCTTGTAAATGACAACAAATGAAATCTTGAATCTTGAATTCAATGTTAATTACTATTCTTTCTTTTTATATGAACTTTACTTATTAAATGTTTGAGACGTCTGCAATGCCATAGCCACTGCCTATTGGGACAGTTAGGACAGTCCAACAAAATTTTATTTATTGGGTCCACAAAGGATGGGTCCACATTTTAAATTGATTTCTCATATTTTGTGTAAAATGGGTTAATGTTTAAGAAAATGGGACCAGATTATTCATATTTTTGTGTAAAATGGGACAACTTTCAAGAAAATGGGTCCAGATTATTTGAATTTACGCGTAAAGTGGGTCCACCCTGATATTGTCCCACACTGTTTAAAAATACTGGCTGCGGCATTGGAGGTCTGTATTATACAATATTTGAATAACAACAGATTTTTGTTTGTAGTGTATAACATCAGTGCAACGATCATTATTGTAATCTGTTGTTTTCTATTTCACTGAATTATTATTATTATTATTTAAAGGCATATCCATTCGGCGAAAAAAAAATTAAAAACTGTAGTGTGGTGGGAAGCGGGGGTATTCTCAAAAACAGCAGCTGTGGATCGCAGATAGATTCTTCAGAATTTGTAATCAGGTAAATTTACACAGGAATGCCTTTTCTGACATATGTATTCATTTGCAGGGAACAATGTGACATCAGTAATGTCCTTCTATTATCACATTATTTTAAAATCGTAACTTTGCAGTATAAAATAATTATATTGCAGCACGTGATAGTTTTCTGCCTTGGTATTGATTTTAATTAGCCTAATAATTAAAAGCTTGTGTTAGTATACGTCTATTGAGGACATTAAATATTGCTTTTCGGGGTAAATAGACGGAAACTATGTTTTATTGAGGTTTTAATATTTAAAAAAGTTGACGCATTAAAGAAAAAAGATATTTGATTAATTTTATTAAAAACTATTTTTTTTTAGGATAATTTTTTATAAGAAGTAGTATAAACCTTGCCTTTTTATTATAACTATTGGTTTGTTTATGTAAATATTTTCCACAGATTCAACATACCACCATTACAAGATTTTATTAAAGATGCCGGTCGGATTTCAAACATAACTACTATCAATCCATCTCAGATAGAATTTCAGTAAATAAAAAGGTTTTTGTACTTTAGCAGGGGCACACCGAATACAAAAAAAAAAGGGATATTAAAAATATAACATACCTATGAGCTTAGTAGATTGTAAACTGTCATATCAAAAATAGACAAAACTTTACAGTCGTTCTGATCCGTAGGATAGTAAATGTCGAAATTGAGTGGCAGTCTCTGATGTAATTTTTTTAATCGATAATCAGTTACCACATTATTTTAGTGTTATGAAATATAGGCTAGGCCTACAAAAGGATGCATAACGTACAGCTGGCCTATTCCTCTCTCCAACTACATTCTTAGTCACACAGCTTTAAATTGAGCACATTAAACACCGGTAGGCCTACATTCCACAAAGTATACTCCAATGTATACTGAATGTGAAACATAAGGCCATTTCGTTGATCATAAAAATATAATATGTTCTTGCTAGATTTTTTCAAATTTTTCTATCTATTTCAGGTTTAATTCATTAAGAACAAAAGTAGATAGAGAGAGATTTATAGCGTATATCAAGCAATACGGCAAATATATATGGATATCCGGGTTTGGCTTACCCTTGGGACTGTATTTAACCAGACGTGCCTTGCGGACCATTAGAAGCACCCCAGGAATCAAGATCAAAGTGTTGCTCGGTCACCCGAAGCAGTGGACTGCAATGAACAAATTTTGGTCTCACAGAGGTGTGAAAGCTGAACGAATATCCAGCGGTAAGAATGCCTATTGTGTAAAAAATAGCTATCTAATTATTTACTATTTTAAAGCTACATGACTACTAGACTCCTGGGTTGATATAATTGGGTGGAGGTGAGGGACAAGCATGAGGGAACATTCTTTGGGAAGTAGCAGACATTAGCAATTTCAAGGTAAAAATAACTGATTTTAAATATACAGGCATGTACTGCACAGAAACTAAACGAATTTATTGAATAATAACAATGACGGTTATTAAAATGATGATGGTGATGAAGATGATGATCATGTTGGAGATGACGATTACAAGTAGGCCTATGACGATGATAATTTCATCATATTCTACTGTCTGGTATCCCGGTTTTTAAATGTTTTATACATTGGTTTTAGAAGATGAAAAATCATATTAGGATCCCCTGAAAGTTAAACGGAGTTTTAATTCCATTTCATGTTTGTTAACCATAACTTTTTACCATCAACTAATATTTATTTTATTTATTTCAACTAGCATTACCCTGGGTGACCTGATCAGTGTAAAAAAACATTGTTATTCCCAGTAAAAAATACAATAAAATACATCAAATGGCAAAAATCGGAAAGTACAAAGACGATTAATAAAGGCTGTAAAAATTTAAAATGTAAGAAGGATATATTTATAATAACTGTTACTGTTACTGGGCATTTATAATGCACCTTTCCTTTCGGTTGCAAAGCTCAAGCCAAGGGACCTCCAAATTTAAAATTATCAAGAGCAACTGATTCACATCAGTTCAAAAAAAAAAATTCTCATACCACACAGAATACAATCTATGGATAAACAACAACAAAAAAGATAAGAAAAGACACAAAAAAACAGAGACAAGTGAATAATAATAATAATAATAATAATAATAAATAATAATAATAATAATAATAATAATGATAATAATAATAATAATAATAATAATAATAATAATAATAATAACTAGACTTACTATGTCTGTTTGAACAACAGAACATAGGGCTTTTCCCCATTGCTTTAATGAGAAATGAAGTTGAAATTGCAACATAAAGAAAGGTTGTTAAAAGGTATAAAAAAAAAAAATAAAATAAAAAAAAAAAATAAAAATAAACACTGAAAGCCAATATAATTTTAATGAAGTGGAGAAAATGAAGTGAAAAAAAAAACATCGAAAACCAAGTTCACTGCTACGTTATTAGTGAGACTTGAACTATGTGAGCAATGGTAATAGCGGGGTACATCGTGACTCATAACCATCGCGCGCCAACTGAGCCGACCTTGAGTAGGAAAATACATTTTCAGTTCATAGCGATTCAATGACTGAAAGTAAAATTGTTCATGCATATCACGGTAGTTTTGAGTTTAACCTAGCTGTAACTGGTTTAAGCGCTTTAGAAAACGCAAATTGTGTTTAAATAATTTAATCAACTGTCAACTAAAAATCTTTAAATGGTCCTCGTATCCACACCCTACTGCGGATCGTCACCAAAATTTGATCATTTCTTCATTTCAAGTGTCATTTTTATCCATCTATAACTGGGACGTAAGCAATTTAAATGACCCTCAAATTTACACCCTAACCTGGATCGTCTCCTACACATAATAATATCTTCCTTGTAACTTGGGTTAAACTTTCCCGAAAGTTTCATTTCGATCAGTTGACCCGTTTTGGAAATATCTGGTCTGGGACGTTTTTCTTTCAATAGTCCTCAGATCTATACCTTACTCCGGATCGTCACAAAAATTTAATCATTTACCCATTGATTTTTTTAAAGAGATATTTAGTTCTTGGGTCTTCAAAAATTGAAATGACCCTCAAATTAACACCCTTGACTGATTCGTCGCCAGCAAATAAAAATTCTTCCTTGTAACTTTGTTAATATTTTTCCGAATGTTTCATTTAGATCAGTTGATCCGTTTTCGAAATATGTGGTTTGGGTAGTTTTCCTTTTAATGGTCCTCAGATCCACACCATACTGCAGATCGTCACAAATTTAATCATTTTTTACAAGACCTTTACAAAGTATTAAATTTAATAATGTTTCATTTAGACCCATAGGTTTTTTTAAATAGATATTTAGGTCTGGATAATCAAAAATTGAAAAGACCCTCAAATTTACACCCTTCGCTGGATCGTCACTAACAAATAAAAGTTTCTTCCTTGTAAATTAAACTTTCCCGTAAGTTTCATTCACATCAACTGACCGGCTTTTGAAATATCCTGTGTAGACTGTTTGACCTTAAATCACTTTAATTGGTCCTCACACACACACACCACCATAGATTGACACTAAATAATTATTAGGAGGCACATCATTGATATATGGCCTATGCTTCGGAAAAGCAAATTTTTTTATTTTGATATTGATGTATGGTCTATGGTCTTTTGATATATGGTCTATGCTTCGGAAAAGCAACTTTTTTAAATCATTCATTTCTGATCTGAAAATATGTTCGTATTTTAATTGGAGTCAGATTGCTCTCTTCGAATAACTCTAGCATGAAAATTAGACGGAATAAAAGGACACTGTATCCGTTATATGTCAGTATTGGCGCTGCACTGTGGCTGCCGTGGGTCCAAGAGGCCCAGCTAAAATTTCCAATATATATTTTTTGTAATTTCATGTTTTTATACTGGAATAAATACGGTAATAAAATAATTTATATAATTTCTTCTTCTCTCACTATTCTTTCACTAATAAAAAATTATTCTGTATTTAGTACTAATAAATACCTATTTTAACTCATCCAACCGCTCTGGTCTTAATGACTTCTAAAACACATTTGCAAGTTGTTCCAACTTGATTTGCAATGTCTACATACTTTGATATTATTACAATATTTATATGCAATAAATATCTTCAAGCTTCAATCAACGTGTAAACTTTAATTTTCTGCAGGTGCTTATTGGCTCTCCTCTGCGTTGACAATGTGTCATGAAGTACATCTTTATGGATTTTGGCCATTCAGGACAGATCAGCACGGAAATCTCATTAATTACCACTATTATGAAGACAAAGCTCCTAATAATAAAATTCTTATGTACCACCACTTTGACGAAGAATTTAAGGCTATCGTTGATCTGCATATCAAAGGTATTGTAAAGTTACACGTCGGTAAATGCCAGTGTTGACCCTTGTGGTGTGGTACTATTAGTAGACTTCAACAAATTTTACAGCTCGGACTGCATGGTCTTCCATCGAACCTCCTATACCATACAGGTAGTAGCGCAATTTTAAGAAGTTGCATTTAAGCCATTGAGCGGTTAATAACAGGTGAAGGTCCCATGCTTACGGTCCGATGGGAGTCCCCGACCCCTATCCCACTGATATTTTCAAGGTGGGCTGCCAAATTTACACCATGGGTGTCAATGAACTATGTTTCAAAACATAATTTTGTATAGTTACTCAACTGAAATCAATAGTCGGCCCTATGCCACAATCTTGATGTTATTTAGTGCGATGAACCGATTGGATTGTAATCAAAAGTTATTTTACAGTTTTACTTCCATCCAAGAGTTTCCATTAAATTAAAAAAGTATATTCCAGAACTAGCGATTACTCAGATTAGCCTAAATTATTCAAAAGAGAGCAGCATGATTAAGACTATCGGTGAAGATCGGTTTACTACAGCACGTTAGACGAGTTAAACGCAAACAACGCTACTGCGCTCATGCCAGTCACTAGTTTATTCTAATAATGAAAACAGACGCGTATACTTCTGCAAATGCGACCGTACGCCAATAGTTGGCTATTATGGAACGCCAAAAGTGGCACAATGCAAATCTGAAGTGGTAGCATTAACACAAGTGACGCAGAGCAAAAGTCAAGTGGCGGTACATAACTAAGTCTCAATTAGGAGTTACTGGTGTATAATACTGAGCTGTGTGTATTCGGAGTTACTGGTGTATAATACTGAGCTGTGTGTATTCGTAAGAAAAATGTTGGTGTTGTTAAAAGAGAAAATAAGATTGGGATTGAAATGTAACACATTAACCACAAAAGTAACACAAGCTCCACTATTTGTACTTATTTTTCGTTTTGAGTATTTAAGCTAAAAGTTAAAGCTATATTGCGTACGTTTATTAACTGTATACTGAAATGTTATACTGGCTGGCTAAGATGGCAATGGAAATAGACCTAATTATAATTCAATGTTCTGTAAAAGAACCACAACTTTGGTATGATAAAAGAAGTATGTTAAGTAGTCTAAAAAGGAATATTCATAAAAGTCACACAAATATGGGTATACATTTAATTTTTACCTTGTTTTGTTCTTTCAGTATTCTTCAAACAATTGCAATATTTTTTGTATAATTTCTTGTTTTTTTATGTAGAGATTCATTCATTAAAATTTCAACTACAACAGTTAGACTCAAAAATATAGTTAATTATAGTAGTTTATTGCTGTTTATAGTAGTGAGTTAAAGTTTATAGGTCAGTCAACAATTCAACAATAGGCCTATTTATAATAACAGGCTACTTATTATTATTATTATTATTATTATTATTATTATTATTATTATTATTATCATTATCTTTATCATTACCATTAATATTGTGTATAATTTTCTATGAATTTAATCTGAAATAAAAGTCAATGAAATTTAAATACATGCTTGTTTCTTGCTTGATTACCGTAATTTATATTGCTTTGAAGGTTTATTGCTCTACAGCAGCCAATTGGATCCGATTTAAAAAGAAATGTAATGTATGTAAGAAAAATATATAAGAAAATTACAGTTACTTCAGTATTTAATTAATAACGATTTACAATCGATCTATAATACTTTTTTTTCAATCTCATCATATGGAATTTATGATTCTAGAAAGAAACTTTAATTTAATTTTTTTTAAGTAATTAAGACCACGAAAAAAAAATACGTCGGTCTGAACATTTCTCGTATAAAAAAGTATCTCTTCGAACCCCGTCTTGACGGTTAAGATGTTTAAAACGATGGTGAATAGAGCAGCTTAAGAAGAGATCAGCTTAGCTCAGTCGGCTAAAGTGGTGGTAGCCACTGTGTGTCTGCTGAAGTGTGTGCTGAACCGTGGACTTGGTCCCCGGTTCAATTCCCATCGCTGCTCTCCTTGTATTTCAGCTGGAGGGCTGAATGCAAGTTGCGATAGCGCGCAGTCTTGCTGATGAGACGTTAAGCCGTTGGTCTCGTGTGCATTATGGCCCATGTGCACGAAAGAATGCAGTACACTCTTTAAAAGAGTAGGATTGCCTCCCGGTGTAGGCCTACTGGCCAGTCACCACCAGAAGGACACTTCTTGAAATACGACTTCTTCAGAATTTCGTGGGTTATCCCTGCTGTTTACACCGAATAAATCCGTCCATCCATCCATAAATGATCTTTAGGTTAAGCGTTTCAGTCAGTTGTATGACAGAAAGTGTGTGTGTGTGTGTGTGTATGTGTGTGTGTGTGTGTGTGTGTCTGTGTTTTGCGCTTTTACCTTATGTCTCGGTAGTCTAATAGTATGATATTTACTTTGATAGCGCGAAGTTGCAGGTTTGAATTCTGCCAGAGTCACTCCATTCATACAACTGAGTCAAGGATATGATGGTTATAATGCTTGATACGATTATAACATGTTCCTATTCGAGCACTGTTATAATCATTTATCTATTTGTTACCTCCGCCAAGGAGATCAGGTATTCACCCCTGTTTGTTTGTCTGCCGGTCTGTCTGTTAGCAAGAACGCAAAATCTAAATAATGGATCATAGTAACATTTAGTGAAATGGTAGGCCTACATAATAGTCTAAGAAAGAGATGATTTGGTGATCCGAGTTTTCTCCCTTAATTTATACATTCGAACATAAAAAATACGCCAATCATACAGAACTGATGGCGGGCAGGGCACTTTTTTGGCAGTAGACGCGGGAAAAATCAGCCCGTGGCGCAGCACAGTGAGCCAGGGCGAAATCAACGTGTGCCAAAAGTCCATGTTTGTGACTATGGCTTTTGCACTTTTTTCACATGAATGAAGATGGGTATACCCTGGTGAAACTATCCTCAAAATATTTTACATTTGAACGAATTTTAAGGGTGGTATTTTTCAACAAATGTCGGAAATTTCTCTATAAATAGTTTAAATGATAAAATTGACTACATTATATCAAAACACATTTTTATTCTTACAGAAAATTCGGAATTACTTGAAAATGTACACGTTTCTTGTATATAAATTGGGGAACACAAATATATGTTTTGGTTTAAATTTGAAGTTTGCATCAATAATAGATTGTTGTTTAAACGACAGAAAAAATATTTCAAAATCTCTTTTTAGAAAGGTAGGAGAGAAAGTTTAGATTCATGCTTTAATTTTCACATCACCATCTTTAGTATATCATTAGATTTATGATGGTACCAAATTTAGCAGCTACTTTTTGCTACTTCGCGAGCTAGACGCACTTTTATCAGTCTTGTTTTCGTACATTTGAGACACAATTTAATTAGAGCAAACCGCAAATCAGAGGGATGTACGCGAGTCTACTCAACCAGTTCATGAAAAGCATGGGAAAAGCACTCCAAAAATTGACAAACTGCTCCTGATTTAACAGTAGCAAATCTTCTAATATTTTGTTGCTGTTTAGAATACTTTATTAAATTTTGAGCAGTCTAATAATCCAAAATCATATATCATAATCAAGATGATATCTACAAGCAGGCCTATATCTAGGCGTCAATTGTTTTTAACTTTATTCAAAGACATCCAAGACTTTGAAAAGCTTCCTGTTTCAACTTAAGGAGAGGTGAGCTACTAATACCTTATGATACCATGACAATAACGTTACAGTTTTGTGTTGAAAATTTTATTTTGTAGAACCATAAATACATACTGAACATAATTTCACAACGTTTGCACGTTCCTACAACATTGTGTAAACGTTATATTGTGACATACCTGACCACAACATTGGCCAAGAACGTTATAAGAACATAAACACGTGTTTGCCGGGTTTCTAAACAAAATAACACATGGCTTGACAATGACAATGACAATGACAAAAATATTTATTTCCTTTGAGCATAAAAAATTACGAAAAATATAAATGTACAACATTTTTAAAGGTCAAAGAAAATGGGAAATTCCTGAAGCGTAGCTTGTAAATGGAAATCCCAAATTACATAATTAAATATTTCTTTTACATATAAGGTTCAAAAATAATTCAAAGGCCTATTTTACTTAAATAAAAGAAGTTTAAAATTTAATAAAACAATTCTATTTCTTTTCTGTAAATTATATTTGTATTCATTAATAACAACATCTTAATTACTTTTAGTTTCTTTATATTTATAGTTAATTAAGCAATAAATTAAGTACAGTGTCTACAATATAAAATAATATAAGAGAAAATTTGTGAATAATAAGTTAATCTGAATTCCTATAACTATAATGTCTTCTTACTAATAACAGCTAAGTTTTAATAATAAAATAAACTGTTAAATCGTTATACATATATATACCTATATAGATATACCTATATACTCATACATATAATTAAACATTTACATACCATACACACATATACATACATACATACA